AAACTTAACCACTTATTTTATACGAGATTGCATAAGGGTCAAAGAAATGATAACCATTTGTAAATATTGGAAAATACGCACACAAAAAAAATCCAAATAAGATCCTAATCTAAAAACACATTATACTCATCTCTTTATTAACTAAAAGAACAACATAATCAACAAAAAGAGTTATTCAGAAGACTATATTTAATGTAGATCTACACTTAAATAATAAATTTTCATGAACAAAAAAAACCTAACATCATGCAAAATAAGAAAGCAGAATAAACCTAAAGTATACAAAATTTATACAAAAAGTAAAAAGATTGAGTTAGAGAAATAATACACTGAGACTTATACTAGTTTGATGTATCGTCCTCGCTCACACTTAATCTAGTCATCGATGCTAATCTATTAGAAATTGTTGTAGTCTTACACTATAGAAAATTAATACAATGTCCTTTTGTACAAATGATAAACATGAATCAAAGTTGAAATACTTAAGATTAACTACTAAGCTAACCTAACATAACTCAGAAGGTTGCTAAAAGTCCAAGATCCACGATCTTGAGTAGATACACATTCACAAATCTTCAAACACCCTAAGATCTAGTTTTATATCAATATTCAATATATTATACCGAATTTACCTTGTCTTAGTATTGAATAGTTGTTAGATGCTAGAAACTCCAAAATCTCTTGGAGAAGACTTCTTATTTTTCTTCAATGGAGTACAATCACCAAAAATCTACAAACTTGAATTTTCTACTTGAAACAAATTTACAAAAAAACATTAGAACCTCTAATAAATCACATCACAAAAAGAACTCACACACTCTCTCTAAGTTGTGAGCATCGTTCATACTCATTAATGGTGTTTAAAGTTTAATGTAGAATATGCAATTTTTGAAAAATCTCACACAAATAACCTTTCTCACTCAATATATTAACTCTCAAATTTTTTTCTTCAAGGTTTATCTAAGTGGTGAACACCAAAATTTAATCAAAGATTATGAAAATAGAGAGAGAGAAGAAGGTTTGTATATGTGCTAAAGATAAGATACAAAAATAGTGTAAAATTAGCCATTTGATTCGAGTGAAAGGCATAATGAATAATTTGAATCTAGTGAGAAAGTAATTTGAATAAAGTAAAGAAAATCTTAAATTTTCATTTTTGTGATTCGAATAATGATTCAAGTCATGTGATTCGAATCATACTAGATTATGATTCAAATCAAGTTTCCAAAACTCATTTTAAAAAATCAAAGATTCGTTCATGATTTGAATCAAATAATTATTGATCTGAATTACAACACACTTATGATTCAAATCAAGTGTGAATGTGATTCAACCACGTTTCTATAACGAAATTCCATATTTTCAAACTTGCTCATGATTCAAATCAAGGCTTTTCATGATCCATATCATGTTTGTAGAAACCAACTTCTGGGAAATGAAAAACTTCATGATTCGAACCAAAGAATTGCATGATTTGAATCATACCTTGTAGAATTTCTTGGTTCAAATCATAAATTAATTAGTTCGAATCAACCTATGTTGACTTTTAGTCAAAAGTCTATTTTATGCACTAAAAACATTTTATGCATGGAAAAAAATAATTTTTATGAGATGTGCAAAAATATTTATTGAGAAGGACTCAATTACTAAAATAATAAACATAATAACAAGCAAAAAACATCCTAAAAATATAGGGATATCCTAGGAGCAATTTTAGTTTCTCCCTTTTTGATGCTTGAAAACTTGCAATGTAATTGAGTCAACATGAAGGGAAAATAGTAGGGTTAGTCCACAAAGAAATAAAATTGAAACACGACTTTGATCTTTTGGCTTTTAACTACCACCACAAACTGGTTTTGATGTTTTCAATCAACTACACTAACCTTGATTCTTTATTGTCGAAAATCTACAATTTATTTCCTTCCAAATAACCTACATACTTGCCAACTAGATGACTTGAAGACACTTATGTGTATCCTTACTAAAAGAACGAGAACCACAACATTAAAGGCATTCACATCGATTTCCTTTTAATTCACATTAAGAATCCCCTTCCATTGTATGTTACAACTCAAAATCTAGCCATAAATTCACACTTTAGGAACATATATTGATTGCTTTCTTCCTTTCTAGAATGACATATACCCCCCCCCCCCCCCCCCCCCCCCTTAAGCGCCGTAATATTATATCCTATTTCTCCAAATTGTTTTTAGTAGGGACCCTTTTGTTGATTAACTTCCACACGAACATAGACACATTTAGTGGCATAGTTTTGTTTGAGATGAGCGCATGGGTTGAAATAGGATCACATTGCTCTTCATGGACCAAGATATGATATCCATCTTTCACTTAGTAGCCAACTTCACATGAAGGGACCACTTCCAATGTTTAGCAACATTATCCTTTTAAAATAATATTAACCATTAAAGAGTGTTACTTCACCCCTTGTTCTTCTTTCTAAGCAAAATGTTTCTCTGTCACCTCACAACCCAATCTTCTCATCTTTGCCACATAAATATTTTGTCACGTGACAACTGAAAAATACGATGGAACCTCGCACAAATACAACCTCTTTCCAACCAAGAATTCTCCCCCTTTCTCATTACTCATCAAATGATACAAACGATTAACTAATCATCGATCTAAATTCATCCACACCTCTTCTTTAACCATCAACCCAAACTCTACCACATATATGCCATACCTCCATCTTTAACACAATCTCATTATACCTCATATTCCACTGCTATAACCCTAAACCACAACCTTTCTCCAGTCAACAAGCAATCTCTACCACTACTTGTATATCTAGACCTGATTAAACTCTCTTACTTGCTATCTGCATATATTTCTCTTTACTTTAACATTAGAATATTTTTACAAATACATATTACTATTACGAAAAAAATATTTAAGAAAAGACGATTGAATCAAAACACCACATCAATAAATTGCAAACAATAACCTGAAAGATACATACCCTCTACGAGATTCATCTCATAAATTCACAACAAAACAATTACTAATTATTAATTAAAAAAAAATTATATTAGATAACATTTTCCCATTAATAAACAAATGTCACAACATAAACCTTTTTCATGCCGAATATTCGCTGAAATTATGTAAATCATTTTTGATGTCCAATATTTTGAAAAGTAGCATAGAAAATGATTTACATAATTTCATCGAATGAATATGCAAGTAACTTTACACATCTCATTAAATATTAATCTCATTTAATAACTAATCATATTATATATATAGTATTAATTCGTTTCGAAAATAATAGTATTATTATCCCTATCACCTGAAAAAAAACATGGGGAATAAAATCAGCGGTTGGCACTTTGCTTACAGTTACGTAACAAAATCATGTGAATCCAACAATCTTTTCATGATCTTCATCATTCCAGGGTTTTCTCAAATTCTCCCAAACCAATCAACGCGTTTCTCAATTCATCTCAAAACAACACACCATTAGATCGCCACTCTTTCGCACTTTCAATCCAACACTAACTCCCAAAATCTCACATCACATTGTCGTTTCACTCGGTATCATGTTTTCATCCTTACTCTCAATGCTGTCATTTTGCATCTTCTCAAGTTTAATTCAAAAATGTTTTTTTTTTTTAATTATTGAAATTTGTGAAATGATTTTGTTTGTGATTAGATGTTTCTGATGTCTCTGCACAATTAACAACTGAGCTGTGAGATGGATGTTTCTATTTTTATGTACCAAAAAAGTTTATATTTCTTTACCTTTATTTTAATTGAATCATGGATGATGTCACTGTTTTGAATAGCATCAGAACTTTCTGAGATTTCATTATTAAATGAAGGTGATTTTTTTGTCAAGAATTTATTTGTTATTTAATTTTAAATGTACTTATCATTTTTATCTCACCATGGTTATGTTAAATGGTTGATTTGAATACTAGTTACTTTGAGTACTAGTTACTGATACTCAGGACTAAACCTGTTTTTTTTCTTTCTTTTCCTGGGCATCATTGTTTAGAGCTGTAACTAATTAGGATTGATTTTAATTAATTCACTATTATCCATAATATGTGCAACCGTTTATCACTCTTTCCAGATTGAAGCATGTTAAATTCCTTCTTATCTGCTAGTCTTTTAGGATGAGTGATTCTTTGTTTCAGTTATATTAATGATTTTACTTTTTGTTACTGTTGGTTGGAGGATCTGTAATATTTCTCATTTGCTGAGCTGTTACATTTGATAATTGGAGCATGGATTTGGCGGGATCGATGAAAAAACGTGTTATGAAAATTTTGTTTTTTTACGCGTTTATGCTTTTAGGATAAGATTGTTTTTTATGGATTCGATTTCATGAGCTGGATAGTTCCTCTCTCCGAATTGCCTTGTAAAGTACTATATATATAAAGAGCTATGTAGCACCGACACCTCTTGAAAAAAGGTGTGTCTGTGTCGGTGTCCAAAACCGACACCGACATTTGTGATTAATTTAATTTATTAATTTTTTCAAATTATTACCAGTGTCGTGTTTCCGTGTCCGTGCTTAATAGATAGAGAGAGATGCTAGAAACTAGAAAGCTCTTTGATAGTAATGTTTTTCTGGTGATGCGACCTTCTGTTTTGTTTTCTATAATGAGAAAAACAACTTTTCCTAAATTTTCTCTGCACGTCTTCTTTCCTCCTAGAAACAGTTTGATTACATCTAACGGAATATTTATTTGCAGAATCAGTCTCTTTGCTACATTCCAGATAGAGTTGTCGACTGAATTTTCAAACTGTCTTTTTTCCTGAGCTGAATACAAATAACTTCTATAAAGGTTAATATTATCGGTAACTTAAATCACTTTCAAAGATAAGCGATATTGTGATTCATCCTTTTGGCTTTCATTTATTTAGCACCATGTCTTAAAACTGTATTTGTATACATAAAATAGGTGACTTTAGGCGGAAAGCAAAATAAAACTGTCTATACAAGATTTCTCAACCAAGGGGATAGTACTACAATGTCAGACTCAAATGAAACGGTGTCATTTAAATCTTACCAGGATCAGGCTCATATGTTCGTGAAGGATTATATACTAGCCGACTCTTTGATTCCATATACTTCTGTTATTGGTGGCATTCTTGCTTGCAAACTGGTATTTTATATATTAGTATTGCTGTCATTCAGTTTTCTTATTAATGATAATCAAGTGATATTATTGTTATTTCGCTACTTTACCTATTGCCTTGTTTGTTTTTCAGATCTATGATCTTACTCATCTCATTGGTACTAATTACTTTAAGACCTATTCCAGCTTCTCAAAAATCCAACGTATTGAGTGGAATAACCGGTAACTGGATGTTTTATTGAGTGTAAAACATCTTTCATTTGTTGCTCATGATATGAAATGTTTATGAACTTCGATTCTTTGTGCAGATCTGTATCAACTATTCATTCAATTTTCATAACAGCTATGTCATTATACTTGGTGTTTTGCTCAAATTTATTTTCTGACAACCAGTCTACTGATCCTATTACAGTTCGAAACTCTTATTTGTCAACATTTGCACTTGGGGTAAGAATGATCTCATTTTTCCTCCTTTGAGTTCCATCGGTTACTAATATCGTATCTTAGATAGACCTATGTGTGACCTTTATTCTCCCTATGTTATATATTACATGGGTTTCTGTTGAAACACAAGTTCCAGAGCTTGTGATAGTAAAAGCTGCATTCAGAAATTACACATCTTTGGATTTTCTGAATCACACCTTTTATACAATTTTTTTGTATGTGCAATTATTGGAGTCTAAAAATATTTTAACTTTGGTCTTGGGTTTGTAGGTTACCAAATTAGTCATGTAAAAAACTAGATCTGCTAATCAGGTATAGTTATGTTTTATCTCTTGCGAATGTGAAATTTAATCTGTGAAGTTTTGTCAAATATAGAGTGTGACTAAAGAAAATTCTGCATTACCTATAAATCTGACACGTGAAAAACAATGTATCTTGTAGAGTTATGTCATTCTGAACTGAAGGTATGTTTTTGAGAATGAAGTTTGTCGATTGACTGAAATGAGGAGATAGAGTTTATTTGTGTGGGGATTATATATAATTTGCATCAGCTTGACTACCATTTGGTTTTTCTGCCTTAGATTTAGTACTAACACTGTAAAATTGTGATGAATTACTTGCCCGAATAAATTTTCAAGTACTATGTTGAGAGAAGAAACAGAAAAATTACATAGTCAGACAATAAATAAATTTTCTTATAAATTTTCTTAAAGAGCTAGGCAGAGGGAATCTGATATGATTAAGAAATGATGTCTGTTTCATCATTGTAGCAAGGACACTGCTTGATTCTTTTAGGTTTTTATTTATTTTTGGCATTGGGAGTTGGGACTTGCTATGATAGATCAATAAATTCAATTTTCAGGTGACAGGGATTATGTATGACGTCGGAGTATCTGAAACTATAAAAGAATCTTGTTAGCTTGTATGAACGTAGTATGAAATTGTGAATCTTCTATTAATATTTTCCATCTGGCCTTCAATGTTTATGGTAAAAATGTCTGTTTTGTGCATGAAACTATTTTCATTGATTGTTAGTTACTCAGGTGATCCTCTGTTGATGTGGTGCACATGTTATAGTTTATTTATTTAATATAAATCACATTGAATTTCTTTGTGATTAGAATGGATGGTTGGGATCTAATGGAACTTAATAATTCATATTCTTCCTACTTTTTTTTTTCTCATAATGATTCAGATCAATCTTTGAATTGTTATAACCTACATTGTTCTGATCACATTTTAACATCTCATTTTTGTGACCAACAACATTTTCTTTTATCCGGTGAAGAAGTCTTTATATCTTTTGTTTGATATTTGTTTCCACAGGTTTCTGTTGGTTACTTCATTTTTGATATAGCGATGATCCTTTGGTTTTTTCCTTCTCTCGGTGGATATGAGTATGTAAGGATAATATCTTCTTAACTTGCACTGTTTAAGCTAACTGTCTTATATAGTTGAATGCTCTTATTCAATTTTAATACATTTCATTATAGGAACCTAGCCGGAGATGATTAAGGCCAGGATTTAACTTGACTTAATATTAACGTTGGTTCAGGTGGTTCATCATCTGTTTTCTTTAGTAGCAGTAGCGTATTCAATGTTGAGTGGGGAAGGGCAGCTTTACACATACATGGTCCTGATCTCTGAAACAACTACTCCAGGAGTCAATTTGAGATGGTAATCTTGCTCTTTTAGGTTTATTACTTAATTTTAACCTGTCATGTAATGTTTTTCTTTATATTTTTTTTTTGTGAAGGTATCTCGATGTAGCTGGTTTGAAAAGATCCAAAGCTTATCTCATCAATGGGGTTGTAATATTCCTTGCTTGGATGGTGGGTTAAACCACTGCAGTTTGAAATACATTCGTATAGCTCTTGTCATGTTTCTTGCAGTATCCTTATTTTGAGATATCATTTCATGTTGAATACATATAATTTTCATTCTGGGCTTAATGGACTTGTTACCTTTATGTTTTAATTGCAGGTTGCGAGGATACTTTTGTTTGTTTACATGTTTTACCATGTATACCTGCACTTTGATCAGGTAACTACTATTAAAACTGGATTTGAAAATTTTCTGGTGTGTGGTGCTTTATAGTTGTAGATCTTGACTTCAATTTTTTTGTCTTTTAAAATATATATGTATATTTGAGTTTAAATTTTAAAACCCAAGTAGGATTACAATACCACCAAAAAAGTAAGATTTTGGGAAGTCAGAGGGTTATTTCAAGAAGTGCCGTTAGGAATAATTTTTTTACTAAAGGGTTATAACAGGATAGCATGTGGTGGGAAGGCTGTTATTTGAATATTTTTTTGGACAGTTACATGATTAATGCTAAAAACACATAATCTATAATAATATATCTATAATCTATAATAATTTATAAAGGGAAAACATGTTTTAGGTGTAGATTGTTTTCATTTCAATTTTACCTTTAGAAATTTCTTAATAGCTACCACAATTATTTAACAACTTCTTTCTTTTTTGATAAAACAATATGACCTCATTCTCCCATTTTCATTTTACTTCCGAAAGCATTTACTTTCTATAATAACCTCCTTCCATTTTCATTTTCTCTCTGAAACATTACTTCCATAATAGAGAGATAATACAACAACAACCAAGTCTTATCCCATTAAGTGGGACGGCTACATGGACCAAATTTTTCCATATTGTTCTATCAAATACCATGTTTCTATTCAATTCGTTTATCTCAAGATCTTTCTGAATAGTTTCTCTTATAGTATTTTTAAGTTTTCCTCTACCTCTAGTTGTTTGACTCCTCTCCATCTGATATATTCTCCTTATTACAGAATCTATAGGTTTTCTCTCAACGTGTCCAAACCACCTAAGTTTATTTTCCACCATCTTTTCTATTATAGATTTACCCCAACACTCTCTCTAATATTGTCATTTCTAATCTTATCTCCTCTAGTCTTACCACACATCCAATGCAACATCCTCATCTCTGCTACGCTTACTTTATTCTCGTGTTGATTTTTAACCGTCCAACATTGTCATGTATAACATCATAGGTCTTACCACGGTCGGGTAAATTTTTTCCTTCAACTTGAGCGGTACTTTTGTGTCACTTAAAACCCTTGGGGCCCTCCTCCATTTCAGCCACCAGTTTGAATTTGATGGTCTGCATCCTCTTCTATTTCTCCATCATTTTGTGTTACAGGCACAAGATATTTAAACCGTGTGGATGATATGGTCTTCAACTTTCACCTCTAGGTTAGAAGTGCTTCTCCTTTTGTCAAACTTACATTCCATATACTCCGTTTTACTTCTTCTTAGACGAAAGTCATGTGTTTCTAAGGGTTGTCTCCAAGTCTCCAATCTCTCATTTAAGTCCTCTTTCGACTCTCTAAATAGGACTATATCATCTGCAACAGACATACATTTTGGTGCTAGTTCTTGGATATGTTCTGTTAATACATTCAAAATTAAAGTAAAAAGATAGGGGCTTAGGGTTAAACAAAAAAAATACTGTTAATATTTTCATGAGTGTGCACACTAAAAAAAACGGACAATAGAGTGTGCATAAGGCATTAATAGGATACTTCATATCAGGGTGTGAAATACCTGGATGTGAATGATGGGTATAATGTATATGAAGGAAATGCTTAGGGTTTAACTATCCACTTTGGTTCAACAAATGAAAAAAATGTGTGAAGATCAATGAATGTAGATTACTTCTACATCCTATAATACATTCTCGACCACAACCACATCCACATCCTCAATTTCCACTACAACGATCACTAGAATTAAAAATAAGGGTACTCAGGGGCGGTCTAGACATTATCACCTTGCAAAGAAACTCGGATGAAACGATTAATAAGCTCTTGCACCGTAGGAAGATTGAGGAATGATAAACTCCATAAATATATTGTCAAGCTTCACCACAAGATCATCACTAAGCAACATAAGTTTGAGTTCGTCAATAGTGGACTGAGCTCGAGCTAAATATTTAGATAAATCTTGACCAGTCAAGGCATCTGAAGTGTGGCCAAACTACAAATAGGATATCGTTAGCATAAAGGTTTTTAGTATTATGCCAAACCTCATAAAATGTCCTATACGATGCTCAAGAGAGTTCTACAACAGAGATATGAGTCCGTTCCCAATCATCTTTTAACTAAGCCTCAATCTCTGAAGCCTTAGTAAACCTCAATCTCTGAAGCCTTAGTAAAATGATCCGAATGACTAAGCCTCAATCTCTGAAGCCTTAGTAAACCTCAATCTCTGAAGCCTTAGTAAAATGATCCGAATGACGTTGCTCCAAGAACCATGACTCAACAGATGAATATGAATTCAAATAATTCTTACCATTCAAATTTTCTATTGTGATAGTGGGCATTCCGGGGAAGGAAAAAGATATGAAGCCCCTTTTAGTGGAATCATCCTTTGTAGTTGTCTTTGGGACTCAATAATAGGGGTTCCGGGCATGATATCACAACCAAAGACCTCCAATAATACCAAAGATAGAAACAGTGGAAAAACTGAAAACCTCAAGGTCTGAAGCATAAAACTTCCAGAACACAACTCAAACGTGGGGCCCACAAGGTGGAACGGGTCCCAATAGTAATTGGAAGAAAAACTGCAATGGTAGGAACTAACGGTGGCTCAAACAGATGATAGAGTGTGGCAAATGACTTTCACGCGCCAGAAAGACACTCTGACTGTTACAGTGGGTGGCGGAGCTTATGAAGGTGGCATTTCGTCAACTTGAATATTAGAGGCATTAGCTAATGATGGTCGAGCTCGTGTCTCTGTTTGCAGGGGCTCCTGTGGAAAACATTGTGCTATGTAGCTCTTGTCATGGGACAGGGTTAGGGAAAAGGGTTGAAACCATTATTTATTTATTGTAGACAAGCCTTGCCATGCATTTGTGAGAGGCTAAGCTCACAGCTTGAACTTCTAACCTCACAGTTTTTATAACAATACTGAACTCATAGTTAAACACATGAAACTCTAACTATTTTGACAAGGCTTCTCTTCAATCCATGGAAAGGTTTTTAGTAATATGCTAAACACTAAAGGAGGATCAAAGCTATTCATTTTTCCCCAAAATTTTAGAATTTGAAATAGAAGAATCATTAAAAATAATTGGTAATCGCAAATTAGCTAGACCACATAATATATCTTTCGAGATAGGGTATACAAAATATTAGAGGAAGACATGACATGGAGTCACTAAGTTGTTTGACAAATGTTGAAAGACTATCCTGATTTACTTTCATTTATCATCTCATATATTTCTAATTGTAAGTAATTAAATAGATACAGACACTTATTCCTATCCCTATAATTAATGGTCTTGATTGTAATCCTATTTCTATAAATAGTCAAGGCCTGACAGTTAATCCCTCATGTAATTAAGATCAATTCTTTATTCTTCTTCACTCTCAAGTACTAGATTATTAGGTTTAACAATGTGACGGACTAGTAGATGAGTACTTTGTTACCATCTATAAGAAAAACGGTTGTCGAGGGAAGGTTGAAACTCGAAATAAGGTTGGTTTCATGCCCAGGATGTCAACTATGAAAATTGATATAGAGATATTGAATAAACCAAAATGTTTTATACATGATTTTCCTTGATACGAAAAGGTGTGCGATTGGGTGTCCATAGAGGTATATTTGAAAAGGCTCAATAAGAGAGAGAAATTCATGTTACTATATTAGACTAATCAAAGAAGAGTATCATATTGGGCTGTTGTATCTGCATTTTATCTTGGAAGATAATTGGTTTAGATTATGAATCTATTTGTTTCATACCATATCATTTCTAACATTTACATATCTCATTATAAAACTATAATTTATGCTCTCATCATGTAGTTGAGGTAAAAGGATCAGTGTTTACAAATGCAGTGTATTGTGCCTATAGGCACATGTACATATCTGCTTAACAACTAAGGGTCACAAATTGTTCAATTAATCAACAGGTTGAGCGAATGCACATCATTGGGCAGATATTGGTAATTATTGTGCCAATGGTGCTATCTGTTATGAACTTGATTTGGTTTGCAAAGATCGTGAAAGGCTTGAGGAAGACATTGGCAAAGAGGCAATGATAATATGCTTAGTAATGCTTATTACAGAAACATGTATAGGTTTTCCTGTTTATATTTTTGTCACCTTGTCTGACCAGCAATGAAATATGTAACATTATCCAAATTATAGTTTTTATTGTTTGGAAATCTGTTTTTGGTTCTCATAGGTAAGGTTTCAACATTATACGAAATACCAACTTTTTTTTTAAGGCAAGTACTGAAAAACAATGCATAACAAAAACAGTAAAGAGGAACCATAAGACTTCCGAAAAGGTAGCTTGCATTTGATGATAAATTAATAATGAAATGACATCAAAGTATTTGTTGAGGTGGCAGCATAATAATGTATGATCGCAGACTTTTGGGGGCTACTAAAGTGAAGCTGTAAATTTCATCTAAATACTAAGAATATAATAGATAAGATGGATTTCTTGAGTTTTTGATTATAGAATTCTAAGGTTTGTTTGAGAGTTTGAAGGGGGAGAGATGAGAGAGTTTTGAAAAAAGAGAAGGATTAATTGATAAGAATAGAAATATTTAGGTGAAGATGGTTTTGGAAATTTATTTTCATTTAAAAACTAAAATCTCTCTAAACTAATAAAAATTATTGGAGAAGGGTTTGGAGGGTTTTGGAGAAATTAGGTAAATTGTTTAAATATAATTTTTGTTATAGTATTTCAAAAATTAAAAATATATTAATGATAAATGTTAATTTAAATATTAAAAACTATTTTATATTTTTTTTAAAAATTGTTTTTTGAATTTCTTCCCTTCCCCCACAAAAAAAAAAAAAAATCCGAAACAAAGCCTAAATTTTTTTTTCTTCAAATTCTCACTCCCAATTAATTTTTTTTAGAATGTTCTATTTTGGCAAAATCTTGAGAATTTAACATTACACCTCCCATTTTATACATGTCACCTCTAATTTTCAGGATTCCAAAACTATTCCTGTCACTATTTACTCTAAATTTTTTATTTTTGTCAAAAAATTTTACTATTGATTAAAGAGATAAATTTTGAAATTTCTGGTACTCTTACTAAATTTCTGATACCCATTTTTGTCGCATACGGGAAATTGTTTGCATTTCACAAATTTCCGGTAGCGATATACCGGTTCAAAATTCCCGGTTATGATATACCGAAAATTTTATAATTTACGATTAATTTTACAAAAGTTCTACACGTATCGGAAATTTAGCAAATTTTCGGTAGAAAATCTATATCGAAAGTTTCAATTAAACTTGAAATTTCTGGTATGTCTGCAGATAATGTTTTATATCTTTGCGGTTTTTACAATTCGGTCCGATACTGCTAATAGGATGCGAGGGAGGAAGGATAAATTGATCCTGGGTTGTGACATATGAGGAAATTACAAAAAGAAAAATGAATCTGCGAAACTTTCTAATGGCAATTATACTATGAAGGTTAGATGCCCATTTAGGCTGAGATCTATTCCAAGTAGTATCGGTTGGAATGTGATGGTTAGATGCAGGTTGCATAATCATAGACTAGATAAGGATTTATAAGAAGATTGTGAAGAGTTGAAGAGATATTTCAGTACTTTGGATATTGTGGGTCAGAGGATGTTGAAGAAAAAAGTTCGTGATCTAACCTATCCATCCACACTTCAATGTGTCCACTGCCGGTGAAAGGGCGAGGAGAGTGATGTGCATCGTGATCCTAGCCAGTGAGAATATGATGCACCTTTGCAAGGGAGTCAGACTATAAAGAGATCATGCACAAAATTAATTGGAAGTCAATCATCGACCATGCCGATTGGTAAGCAACCTTCTACCAAATCTTCTAGAGTTGAGTACTTGTCACAGTTTCATGCTTTCTTTCATCCATACATCGATGACATAATTGATATTGAGAATGATGGAAATTATGGTTATCATTGCATTTCATCTTTATTAGGATGGGGGCAAGAAGCATGTTATTCGGTTTAGAAGCAGTTGGATACTCAAGTCCATCAACATGCTGACTTGTTTTCCAAGTTGTTCTATGACACTGCCTCAGAGGTTAGGACTCCGTTACAAGTCACTCACTTAGGTGAGCAGGGTAGAGATAAATGGATGTCGATTCCTGATATGAGTTACCCTATTGCTTTTAGATATAGTGTCGTATTTGTTTCCCTTTCCATGAGATTTAACATCATTTTCCCACTTCTAATAGTGTTGGCTTTTGAGTGCGCCTAAGACGGGGCTGAATAAAGTGGATTGCAGATTTTTATTCTTTATGCGGTGATGTTCTTATTTTATGGTTTGTATATGAATATGAAAGCGATGAATGCAGAAAAATAAATAACACCGGATATATTCTGGTTCCCCTCACAGTCCGAGAGTACTCAGTCCCTTTTTAACACGAAAGAGATTTCACTATAGTTAGAATTATCTTACAGCCTATCCACACCAAGTGTGATGCTTACTATCTAACCTATAGGGATATCAACGACTCTTAAAACCTTTAAGATCTAAACACTAAGTGCAATAAGAACAATCCTCTTCAATGCATACACTTGTTTCCAATAATCCTGAAAATAAGATAACCAATACAAAGTAAAAAGAGAACAATTCTCCCTTAATACTCTCTTACTTTCAACAATCCCGGACAGCAAGGTTACACCACAATCACTTTGGAAAAATAATTAGAAACAAATTCTTGAAGTAGATATGAAAGTTTATAATCAATGTCGATACCAAGTATTGATCTCTTCTTTTTCAAGACAACAATCCAATGAATATATTACACAAGTGTTCAATGCATATGACGAAACTTTTCTAATGATGTATTTGAAAATGTAAGAGTAAAAGTTTCATGCAAGATCAGAATATTAATCAATACACTTGTTTGAAAATGAGATACAAAATATTGTATTGCATGTTGTGATTGTTGTTGTTGTTGTTGTCGCCTTAATTTGCATCAGAATAAAAAATGAAATTTATACATGTAATGCACAATTTCAAAAGGTTCTAAATGCATGAAAGAGTGCAATGGTTCATGCCTAAAAGTTTCAATCCAACAACCATCATAACAAAATTATTTTTCAAAAATATTTCAGCGGTAGCCCATTACATGTACGCAGTAACCGGTTACCCAATCTTTGTAACGTTGAGAAATTTCAAAAAGTGAAGTTGTAGCCAGTTACCAGAAGACAGTAACCGGTTACCACTGAATGAAAATTGTTTTCTAGAAATATTTTAAAGCCTGTAGCTGGATACCCATAACCAGTAACCGGTTACCACTGTTATAGAAAGTGAAAAAAACATTTCAAAAGACTTGAAAATGCAATGTTAGTGATCTTAAAGCCATGAAACATGTATGCAAAATGTTTAGACATATTTTGAGCACTATAGTAACATACTATATTGAATTGGAATCTTGTACCATATTGAAGATCAAATACCAAAGTCTTCTTTAGGAGTAACTTAACATGTAAGCCAAAACTCCATTTTGAGTAGATATTTCTTCTTCTTCTCTTTGATAATGCCTTTTGCCTTGATCATGATGTTTGTAATCAACAAAACATAAATTTGCTGAAGCATGACTCTACACATATCTCCACCCCCATACACGAGTCGATATAGAACCATTGCTGTGAGTTTTGTCAACGAAAATCATTGGGTTCAGGGTTCATACATTTTGTTTCTAAGGATAGAAACTCATGGTACAATTCAGTTACCTCAACAGGCAGACACCGATCATTATTAACCAAAAAAGGACTGAAATTATCATTCAATATATCACAACCTTCTTCAGAAATATTCAAAGTATTCATAAGTGTAGAGCTCATCCATTTGTCTGTCCAAAACTTGATGTTAGATCCATCCCCAAGAATCCAACTAGAGTTAGCTTGGGCTTTAAGCCATTAGCCCTAATTAAGCTTCTAATGGAAGAAAAAAATGTGGTGCTTAATGAACATGTTTTTTCTAAGAACCCTGACCTTGAGGGAGTTTTTCAAAGAGTAGTCCTTTTGTAAGCAGTCCCAATAGAGTTTTAAGCTAGCCGCCTCATTAATGTGAAGTAAGGATCTAACATCTAAGCCTTCAACATCATAAGGCTGACAAACCTTGTGCCATCAACAATCACAAGTTTCCTATCCATAGGGTCCCCACTTAAGATAAAATTCCTCATGGACTTCTAAAGGAACTTAATGAATGGGATATTCCAGGAATAGACAATAAATGAGTGGATAAGCATGCCATGAATGTCATTTTCACCAATTGTATCCTACCAACAATGAAGAGAAGAACAACCTTACAAGCTGGGAGTTTGGAAGTTATCCTGTCAAACAAGGGGTTGAAATGAATTGAATTAGAACTCACCTTGAAGATGGGAACACCCATATACTCAAAGGAGAGGCTACCATCTTTGAAACCAAGGAAAGAGCTGAGGTAGAGAGCTCTAGATTAGTGCATTATTCCAGAGTAGATGTAAGACTTAAAATGATTTATCACTTGGTCGTAAGCTATATGAACTTCCCAAGACCCAACAAGCAGAAACATGAGCCCTTAGCACATGCTTAAGTGCTTTTCGATACCTAATGGCCGGAAGTGTGTGCTCAGGTGCAATCTATCTTACGTCCCATCACCCAATGGGAGAAAATGTGTATTTGTTTACTCCTTTAACTAAATATGTCTATAAGGGTGTGTTTAGTTCGAGGACATTTTTCACCAATTGTATCCTACCAATAATGAAGAGAAGAATAACCCTACAAGTTGGGAGTTTAGAAGTTATCCTGTCAAATAAGGGGTTGAAATGAATTGAATTAGAACTCTCCTTGAAGACGGGAACACCCATATACTCAAAGGCGAGGCTACCATCTTTGAAACCAAGGAAAGAGCTGAGGTAGAGAGCTCTAGATTAGTGCATTATTCTAAAGTAGATGGAAGACTTCAAATGATTTATAACTTAGCCATAAGCTATATGAACTTCCCAAGACCCAACATGCAGAAACATGATCCCCTAGCACATGCTTAAGTGCTTTTCGATACCTAATGGCCGAAAGAGTGTTCTTAGGC